GTTTCTGTTTCTATTCAAAGATGCGCTGCATGCACATCAGCCTGTCCAGCCAACGTGGTTTGTGGAAGCTGCTCAAGACTAACGTGGACTAGGTCTCTCCTGAAATCAGGTGAAACTAATGGTGAAGCAGGTTCAGCAAATAAACTGATGTCCTGGCATGTGGGTCTATGTACAGTTCTGCTGATGATCAGCTATGTGATGCTGGGCAATCGTTCATTGCTTGTCTTGAACGTCAGGTCCTTTTTAAAATGTGCTAGCAGAGTGTTTGAAATAATAAAACCTAGATGAAAATATAACGCACAACTCCCCCTTGGCCTTGTGTGTCTCAATGGAGGGTTTTACTTCCATACAACAAAACCAAGAGAGCTCTGCCTTCTTTGCTGAATTTAGAGGTGCTCATTGCATCTTCTGTTACTTTTAGGAGTTAAATTTTAATTTCAATGCAAGAAAAGAACACCATTTTAATTTAAAAACAAAGAAAGGAAACTAAATTTTACCTATGCAGTTACATATTAAAATACTCCTTAGGGGGGCAAAGCCCTCTTATTTCACTATTTCAGGTGAATTTGTTTATCAAGTGCTTACCTGATATTTTAAACACTGTTTTTTAATGATGAAAAACAGGAACAGAATAGATGGAGGAGCATTGAGTGCCACGAATACACCACCACACACTGTTCTTACTCAAGTATTCCAGTTCAACAGGTATTTCTACTGCATTTTAGTCCCACAAAAGAACCTTCAAAAATTTCCCATCTTACTTGTTAGGAAATGGAGGTGGAGATGTAAAATGAATTTTCAAAGAAGGTAGGAAACAAACAACAGGACTCTTATTAGAAACCAGCTGTAAATTCAATGGAGCCAAAGCCTGGGATACCTGCCTGTCCTGGCAGCAAGGGTAAAGGTTTCATGGACAATTCAGATCACATTGTTTTCTAATGTCTTAAGCAAAATGAGCAGCCAGTAGATACAGAGTGGGATTTATCTCCTCTAATTTTCGATATCTAGTAGAGAGAGGGTCCCTTTGTGGTCAGTAAAGAGAAACTGTCATCTGCACGGTGTGATTCACCTGTCCTGCTTAAGATGCCAATTATTTGGACAGCATCATGTCCACAGTGGTCAGATGAAGACCATTCATAATGTCATATTTAAAATCTCTTCGATTAAGAAGAGAGAATTGGAGTAGAGACAGATCTCAAGACAGGACAACTCCCAAGGCTGGGATAATTCAAACCCAGAAGGAAATTTTCCAGTTGACTCCCTGGAGACAAAATTTTAAAATAGCTCAGTTGATGTAAAAGCTTATGTTCCATTTTCATAGCAGCTGGAAGTCTACATTTCACTGTTTCAATACAAACTTATCTCCCAGATGCTATTTGACAGTTCTGCAAATTTTATCCTACAAAAAAAGCTTTTTACTCTGTGGCACTTCAGGTATGTAATTTTGCCATCCTGTACAGCCAATGGAGAGAAGTTGCTGTGGCTGGGAGACAAGCCCCAAGACCTCAGTCAGGACTCTCGCTTCCTATGCAGTCCTGTGGGCGTAAGAGTGGAGTGCCTGAAACTGCCTTAGCCCTTTTTCCTCTGTAAAAGGAGGGAAATGTAAATACTCCACATGAAATCTGAATGTCTCCACACTTGTAATACGATAAAACTTGAATCCAAACTCTGAAGTTTAATCTCAGTTCCTTGTCTTCTTACATCTCTTGGATGCTTAAAATAAACTGGAAATCTACTGTCTCCAGCCTAAACCCATCTGATACCCTCGTTTCAGGTTTCTGAGTCCCCTCCTTCCCAACCTGCCTGAATTGCACAAGGCAGATCTGCCCCTGCCCCAGATCACTGTGCTCCCCTGCTCCCCACATAGGTTAAACAAACAGGGAGATTCCTCCAGGGAAGTCACAGGTTCAAGATCACAAAGGACGCACCGCGTTTGGGCCAGCTGGAGGTTTTTCTTGCTATTGTGCTTATCTGTATCTTCACTGTCATCCAGACGTTAACCTCTGACCCGTGAGCTCGACTCTCGAAAAAGCCTCGCGGTGTTTACCCATTATGTAACGTCTGTGCTTTTGTGGAAATTCTACAGAAACAAATGGAGGAAGTTTGCCAGTCAAACGGCTGGACAATAAATCCTGTCCCGTGTAGATAGAACGGTTTACTGTCACTGTAAGTCTGCCACTGGCATCTGTCACCAAAGAAATGTTTACAAATTTCAACTCGCTGCAGTGCCAAAGTATTCCAGCATCGCAGGACTGTACATGATTTGTAGAACAGCCACCACTCTGCTAGATAGGGGTATCCTTGTTTTGCTAGCCTGAATAAACAGAGTGACAATGTTTCCGATAACTCAGGGTCACCAATGTTCATTTTTTCTGTCTATTCATCTCCCAGATCCATGAATACAAGTGCTCAAATGCTAGTTTGTTCATCATAATGCTTTTTCTGCCCTACGATATCTTTGCTAGAAGTTTAATCCCGTTAGGCAAACTGCCTTCAGACCCCTTTGCTTACTTCTAATAGGTCCTTTATTATTTATGCACTGTGTCTTCCCATCCTTCCTTACAATCGATTCTCTTTACAGTCCCTGCTGTCTCTTCTCTTTCTGCACTATTACCCCTTTGGGACAAGACGTCACATTTCGTTACTGTTCTGCACAGTGTCGTCGTGATGCCTTCTGCTGTATGACTGGGGCTTCTACATACCATCAACTATAAAGTTAGGACAACTGAAAGACGAGTTTGGATAAGAAGCAGGAGCAAACGCAATTTGAAACAGTGAGACAAATAGGCAATATAATTTTTCCTTCATTGACTCTTTCAACCAAGGGCCTGATTCTGCTGCCCCTGAATGGAGCTTTTCACTCTTGATGTCAACGGGAGTGGCACTCGGTCTTACAATTCTGCTATAATTAAGTTTTCAAATCTCATTTCCTTTTAGAGGAGAGAAAACATTGTAGTGACTAAGCTTTGGATGTGGTAACAAATCCCTGGCAGGTTGGTTTGTTTTAACGGACGTATTAGTTTTAAGGAAACTTTTACCATCTTTTCTGCCCTTAATCACAGCTTTTATTACAATTACAGTAATGCAACAGATGTACATGCCAAAGGCAATATGTGTATTTTTAATGAGTTGACATGCAACCTTCCTGGAGAGGAGAAACAACTTCATTTGCTGAATGTTTCTGAACCATATCTAGCAGTTTATTAAGGGACAAGGAATCAATCAGAAAAACATTTACCACAAATCCAGAGGCTTCAGTAACTCACAGATGAGCAGTCCCATAAAAGAGACTCGGTTGTTGTGCTAGGTTTAGCAAATTTTTGCTGAATGGTAACATTTTCCATTGTCCGCAAGCAATACAGGAGAAGGTTAACAGGCAATATCCAGAAAGCCCTAAGATTATTAATCCACACATGTGGTCCTGAGTCACTGGGCTGTAAAACATCATCAGTTTCCAAAGATGAAACCAAAGGGGAATTCTGCTTGAGAGAGATGATATCACAAACCCAAAGGAACTAGTTGCACCAATAAGGCCTATTTATGCACGTTTTATAAGACATTGGCTCACAGCGGTTTTCATTCTGGTATAACGAATTCAGTCAATAAAATGAACATCGGCAGAGATCACATCCTATGAGTAAAGAGCCTTCAGCCCGGTTTCTTGCCTCAATTTACCTTACAGCTTCGACACAGATCAGACACTGGTGCACACAGAAAATTACAGCAGGCTGACAGGCACACACCAACCGGGCTGATTCACCTGGGGACTAAAGACCTCGGAGAGTCCGGCTCCAGCAGCAGCACACAAAATCCGTTCTGTTAAACTACTCACATCACTGCTGTGGTCTGGGCCAAAAAGCACTCACAAACAATGGCTGGCCATGATTTTTTGGAGGTTAATGCAGGCCAAGGACCATTTCCAATACAACCTTGGATGTGGGTAACCTGTTTTGAGAAGTAAAAGTTTATCTGTGGGGACCAGAGAAGGATTCCTGGCTTGTGGAGATGTGACCCCACAGACCTTCACATACCTGTCTCTGAGACTAAATTATCAAAGGAAGAAGCCTGAAAGCCTCGTACACAGACGACTGCATGCTTGTTTTCTCCTTGGTCATCATAAAACTGCCATAAATTAATAGGAACTGAAGCAACAGACAACTCCTAACAGAAGTTTACATTATCAACCAGGAGCCTGATTTTGTCAGGCAGGGGGTACTGCAGCGGAGCAACTGTCATTATGCCAGGTTTGTACAACGTAAATGGGGCTCTCTAGGTTTGGCAGTAAGAAACCTCACCACCCACCCCGCTTTCAGGCTCCGTACAGTCCCACAGTGAGCCTCCAATACAGACTGACACATCCACACATACCTGCAAAAGGTACAAGACCTCACTGCAATCACAACTACTCTGGCACATCTGCTTGGACAATTAGTAGGTAAAATTAAACTGATAGAAGACAGAGCACAAGTGGAAATGTAGGAATGTGTTTTTACTACTATTAATGCAATCAAAACTTCCTTCTTGCTATTATTACTGTGTTAGCACGTCAATTCTATTCCAAATTATTTTCAACTGCTAACTTACCAAAATACCTGGAGTGTAGCACAATCCATGCTCTGGTTTTCATTCTAAACTTAACATAAATTATCTGAAATTATTTCCTTTCTTAATGCTATTTCTCTTGCTAGAACGTGCAAAACATGCATACAATATGCACTGGAGGAAAGTTAATCTTCTATCTTTCTCCATATGCCAAAAAAAGTGCTGAAATTCTTCTGTGCATAAAGTAAATACTATGTGTCTTTGTCAGCTGAAGGACCATTTTCTGAATTTACCAATATTCCAATTTGGAGGACAAATTCTATACAGCTGGTTAAATCACAGCTTTAAAAAACCAGACGCAAAGAACCCTCCGTGAAACTGATTACTGATTTATTTTCATCATCCAATATGAATTCAATGCAAAAAGTAAGTAGACATAAGTAACATAATTAGACTGTAAAACAGTGGTTTAATCACATGAGATACTGTTAGTAGTATAGGTCAGTTTTCTTAAGAAATATGTATTTTTGGGAAAATATGTTATTTGTTATTTTCCCCTTAAGATTTTTTTTTAATTGATTCATTTGAGATTTTCCTGTACCCATGGTCCTAATTAGAGAAAAGATTAGATCTGTCCCTCTTCAAAACTTAGTCATGCTTTAGCGTTACGCTTTTGCCCACAAAACTACATCAACATTTACTAACTGAGAACAATACAAAAGTTGGTGTAACCAAACAAACAAAAAAAAAGTGCTCACCAATGCAGTCCACGCTGAAGAGATTCACGGAGGTTGTTATGGAAGATTCATCACAGGTCTTCATCCCTCGCAGAGCGAACCGCACCAAGGAGGCTTTGACTCCCTCCGGCAGGAAGGACAGCAGGTAGACGGGCATGTACAGGATGTAGCGCAGTTTGCACAGCAGTGGGGTCATGAGCTTTCCTTGAGGGGACTGAGCCATGCGCTCTATCGTTGGGAACAGCAGCACGGAGCGAAGAACCTGCCGAGGTCATGAGAACACGACTGTCAGCGAAGCCCCACAGCCCCACGTCCCAGCCCAGGGGACTTCATCTTTAAACAGGTCGCCGCTCGGAACGAGGTTGGGTTTCCAATGTAGTGGAGGGTGTCCCTGCCCACGGCAGGGGGGGGTTGGAACTAGATGATCTTGGAGGTCCCTTCCAACCCTAACCACTCTATGACTCCATGGTTCTATGACGTCATCAGCCACCTCACTGCCCACGCCGGCAGCCCCCGTGGCGTGCCCTGGGTTCGTTTCTGGAAAGACGAAGCCGAACGAGGTGCTGGTTACGACACGCCGAGCTCCATCGGTTCTGAAAGAGGCGCCCCGGCGCGCGGGCGCCGCCGCGTGCTGCGGGAGGCCCGCGCGCCCACCAGGGGGCAGTAGGCAGGTGCCGTCGCCTCGGCCCGGGCGCGGGGGGGTTTGGTTTGGTTTGGGGGTTTTTGTTTTGTGGTTTTTTTTTTGTTGTTGGTTTTAATTTTTCTTACGTCAGCAAAAGCACCAAGCACGCCGCTTGATTTATTATTTCCTCCGGTAAACTGTTTTCTCTACGTAAACCAGCCAACCGAATTAAAACCCGTCAGCCGCTGCGGCGGCGTCGGTGCGGTTCGACGCGACGCTGGGGGGCTCGGACGTCCGTCAGATCCAGAGCCGGAGCACCCGGCTCCTTCACTGCGACACGCAAGGCTGCTTTTTGCACGTCATAATGAAATAGATGTGTTTTGAAGCTGGCAATTGTTTTGTGTTATGATAATAGGATACACTGTAGCCTTAAATAGAATGAAATTAATTTTTAAAACCCACCCAGGCTACTCAAAAGTGAATTAATATTCCCATTCTCAATTGTATTTCAACGCTAAGATCAAATGAACATTCTAAAAGGGTATCTGCCACTTTTTCCTGGAAGCAAAAACATATTACAAGAACTCATATACGAAAACCCCTCAAAGACACACTACTGCAGCACCTAACAGAAGCCTTAAGAAAGCAAAGAGATATTCTGGATATTACATTTGCGACAATTAGATATAAATTGCTGCGTTTTGCTGGTGGCCCAACATAAATAAACCAGATGCGGTTACATATGCCTGCTTACCGCTTGTATCATTCTATGTTTTGCACAAATGAGATGAACATATTTCTGAAAATTGTCTTTACTGTCAAACGAGACTCAGCTAATGGATGTCACTGCATCTGCGTGCAGCACCACCGGTCTCATCAGCTATCCAGTGGAAGGCAGGACATGCCACCAAGAGATGCTTACAAGATCTGGCCACTGTAACACAGCGAACAGAAGAAACTCAGGGAATATCAGTAACTTGCCACACTGTACTTTCTACAATATTTTAAAAGCAGACTTTGAAAGTGCCATTTATATTGAATACAGAGCTATTTTAAGAAATCCTTCTACTTTCCAGCTGATACTACTTTGGTTTTAGACAAAGAAAAATACATTCTCAGGGAAATCAGTCCTGGGCCTCTTTTTATTAAAGGCAACCAGCAGCTGAAGTATAGGAATGCAAGACTTGTCCTAAATTATATGGTAGTTTCGTGATATTTCAGCTACGAGTTGAACTCAAACTGTTGTGATCTAAAGCAGATTTGACCTGTGTTCTCAGGCACACATTAATCCTTTGACATTACAGTTTATAGATACAGGATTAGTTGCTTGGAGGGCTGGACTAACCACTGGGGGAAGTTGCTAAACCTTGGGAAAAAAAGGACAAACCAAGAAGGCTCTTCCAACGTCACGTAAAAAAATTTAATGGCACACAAATTTAAAAGATGGTAGTAAGATGAAGGATAATTTTAGTCAATTTCTTTTTTTAAAATCTTTTGCAGACAATAATAGAGAAATGTAAAATTCCTATTTTTCAAACACTTGTTTCCTAGTTTACCGCTAGATTCCCGAGCCAGGGTTTTGAAATGTGCATTTGCCTGCAGAATTGCTTAAAGATGTAGTTCAACTTCTTTGCAACACAACTGTGGATACAATAGAGTTAACATATTTCATTATAATGACACACATGGTCATTAAAAACTACGTCATATTTGTGTCTTGAAACAAGTGAAGTAGAAAAATGCAGGTAAAATTAAGGAACTTAATGAGATTCGAATGCTCAACATGAGTTAATAATTTTTGTCTTGTCAAATGCCAGGATCTCATCTATTTGCAATTTACACCAGCTGAAATCAACTAGATGGCACAGAATTATGTTCATGTTACATCTTTCATAATTATTTTAAGACCAGTCATTCCGAAGGAGGAGGCCATTGCCTGTGATAAGCACCTGGTATCATCACAGCTATGAATGCCACGGTACGTACCATTAAGTAATGGGTAAAGGTTAATGAACTCTTTATTTATGGAAACCCTTCTCATATTTAATGATAGAAGTTTCTTGTGATAACAATCAATCAAAATACCAAACACGTTACACATAACTAGAGAGAGAAATCCAGATTCACCTGGTTTAAATTACCCTCAATTCAAAGTCTGTGATTTTTATCGGTTAAGCAAGAGACACGAGTCGCAGAGGCTTGAGCAGGTCTGGGGACTATTGAAAGTTGGCCAGTGATTCTACTGATGGCAAGCACGCCTGGCACCCATGAGTTGCTGAGAGGTGTGGGTCATATAACCTACCCTTGCTGTACTTTTGTCAACTCAACAAAACTAGTAGGTGTTCTTACGTTGTATTAGAACTGTCACTATTGATTGTTGTGACAATAAACAAGATTTGTAAAACTGTCATTCAACTTACTTAAACAGTTATTTATTTAACACAGAATCATAGAATCATAGAATGGTTAGAGTTGGAAGGGACCTCAAAGATCGCCTAGTTCCACGCCCCTTGTCACAGGCAGGGACACCTTTCACTAGACCACGTTGCTCAAAGCCTCATCCAACCTGGCCTGGAACACTTCCAGGATTGGGGCAGGCACAACTCTGGCTGGGCAACCTGGTCCAGTGTTTCACCACCCTCATTGTAAAATGTTTCTTCCTTAGATCGAATCAAAATCTATCCTCTTTCAGTTTAAAGCTCTTCCTCTTTGCCCTATGACTACATGCCCTTGTAAAAAGTCCCTCTCCAGCTTTCCTGTAGGCCCCTTTAAGTACTGGAAGGCTGCTATAAGATCACCCTGGAGCCTTCTCTTCTCCAGGATGAACAGCCTCAACTCTCTCAGCCTGTCTTCACAGGAGAGGTGCTCCAGCCCTCGGATTGTCTTCGTGGCCCTCCTCTGGACTTGCTCCAGTATCTCCATGTCCTTCTTGTGCTGGGGACTCCAGAGCTGAATGCAGTATTCCAGATGGGGTCTCATGAAAGCAGAGTAGAGGGGCAGAATCCCCTCCCTCGACCTGCTGGCCACGCTTCTTTGGATGCAGCCCAGGATACGGTTGGCTTTCTGGACTGCAAGTGCACACTGTCAGCCCATGTTGAGCTTCTGATCAACCATCACCCTCAAGTCCTTCTCCTCCATGCTGCTCTCAATCCATTCTCCATCCAGCCTCAACTTGTGCTTGGGATTGCCCTGACCCACGCGCAGGACCTTGCACTTGGCCTTGCTGAACTTCATTAGGTTCTCACAGGCCCACCTCTCCAGCCTGTCAAGGTCCCTCTGGATGGCGTCCCTTCCCTCCAGCATGTCCACAACACGACACAGCTTGGTGTCGTCAGCAAACTTGTTGAGGGTGCACTCAATCCCACTGTCCATGTCGCTGACAAAGATGTTAAACAGCACTGGACCTCACACCAACCCTTGAGGACCACTCACTCATTACACACCAACCCTTGAGGACCACTCACTCATTACTGGTCTCCACTTGGATATTGAGCCATTGACCACAACTCTTTGAGTGCAACTATCCAGCCAATTCCTTATCCACCAAGTGGTCCATCCATCAAATCCTTGTCTCTCCACTTTAGAGACAAGGATGTTTTGCGGAACAGTGTCAAATGCTTTGCACAAGTCCAGGTAGATGATGTCAGTTGCTCTTCCCTTATCCATCAATGCTGTAACCTCATCATAGAAGGCCACCAAATATGTCAGGCAGGATTTGCCCTTAGTGAAGCCATGTTGGCTGTCACCAATCACCTCCTTATTTTCTACGTGCGTTAGCATAGACACCAGGAGGATCTGCTCCATGATCTTCCTGGGCACAGAGGTGGCCTGTAGTTCCCTGGGTCTTCCTTTTTTTCCCTTTTTAAAAATGGGGGCTATGTTTCCCCTTTTTCAGTCAGTGGGAACTTCACCAGACTGCCATGACTTCTCAAATATGACGGACAATGACTTAGCAACTTCACCAGCCAGCTCCCTCAGGACCCGTGGATGCATCTCATCATGTCCCACGGACTTGTGCACCTTTGAGTTGCTTAGATGGTCTCAAACCTGATCTTTTCCTACAGTGGGAGGTTCTTCATTCTCCCAGTCCCTGCCTTTGCCTTCTGTGACTTGGGCTGCGCAGTTGGAGCTCTTGCCAGTGAAGACTGAGGCAAAGAAGTCACTGAGTACCTCAGCCTTCTCCATATCCTGGGTAGCCAGGTCTCCTGTTTCCTTCCGAAGCAGGCCCACGTTTTCCCTAGTTCTCTTTTTATCACTGACATATCTAGTAGAAGTTTTTCTTGTTGCCCTTGATGTCTGTGGCCAGATTTAACTCTTACCAGGGCTTTACTTTTCCTAACCTGATCCCTGGCTGCTTGGACAATTTCTCTGTGTTCTTCCCAGGTTACCTGTCCTTGCTTCCACCCTCTGTAGGCTTCCTTTTCGGTGTTGGAGTTGGTCCAGGAGCTCCTTGTTCATCCATGCAGGCGTCCTGGCGTTTCTGCCTGACTTCCTCTTTGTTGGGATGCTCCTGAGGCTGAAGGAGGTAATCCTTGAATATTAACCAGCTTTCTTGGGCCCCTCTTCTGTCCAGGACTTCATCCCATGGTACTCTAACAAGCAGATCCCTGAAGAGGCCGAAGTGTGCTCTCCTGAAATCC